AAATTTCAACTTCCTTCAGTTTCTATATCCCGTTTTTTGTTCTATTATTAGGGGAAATTTTCACTTGTTGCTCATTTCAATCATGCGAGCATCTCCCTTCTGCTACTGTTTGACCTCTCTGACCTGTCCCATTTTCCTACTAGAAGTAGTTCTGTGCTGGGAAGAGTGGTCGTAAACCATCACAACTTACTCCCTCTCAAACTCATGGCCTCGTTTGCTACCAGTGACCTGTGTTTTTATTGCACAAAAGATATATTCTCGCACCGCCTATCAACCATTCGTACGTTCGAACCAGTTGGGGTTTCGTCTATAAGACTTTAACCCCAATCGTATCTCTCTTCCCAACCGTGCTTTAGCGATTTTTGACTCTTTTCCATCGCTTTTTCTGGTGCACCAGTCCTATCACTGAAATGAATGTAATAGATCATACAACTGAGTTGTGCCATGGAAAGGTTGTTTGTCTGCAACGGTTTAATTACCTAGCCTTTCTGAGGCCATTGCGAAGGCACAAGGAAAGGGCCTATTAAAATCTCGTCATACATCAGTCCCAAAGCAATACTCTGACTCAGTGAAGGCCGAGATGACGCATTTCTGTGCTACCTTCACTATCCAAAGTTTGTGAACAGAAACCGCTAGGCTACTATCAATAGGTAATAACCTTCACCACCGGCAGAACAGAAAATACTTAAATACTCCTATGAAAGTCAACGCTATATGTACATGACCGTCAAATAAGAGCCGACTCCCTCTTTACCGTACTATGAGATCGATCCAGTGGCATTTTCTAATGACGAAATCCTTAAAATTTTCCGGTCCTCCAAAGCATTCTAAACTGCAGACCGTGATGGTCTCTCTAGCTAATGCGAAGAATTCCGTCATAAATAAGTTCCTGTCCTCCCGGACATCTCCCGAGTCCTGGCCTCAGGTTACCACAACTCCAATCGCAAAGGCCTCACCATCAACTGTTCGTGCGAAACAATTCCGTCCTACCCCACTAACTCTCGCAGTTCTAAAGTTGACTGGGATGATCAATCTACGTCGCTTGCAGTCAGTCAACATGACCCCATCTAATTTCCATATAAACCAAACAGATTGACACTGGACGCTGTGTCCACTGTACTCTTTTTTATTAGTCATTAAACTATTTAGCCAAATCTATTCTTTACGTTTTTCTTGTTTATTCGTTTGCGTTTGAGTCAGCTTCTCTATCATACCTTCTTTTCTGTCATCAGCCTTTCGATGCTTTCGGTGACTTTTTACAGAATCCGATTCACTGAGAAATAATACCGCAAANAAACAAGTACCAACGGGCTATTTAGTGAGGATTCGATTACCAATACACAGTCAATCAACTAAGTGATCGTGCGCTTACCCACCACCACCACCTGTTGGCGCGGAGAGTGTGGTACAGCTATACTAGTCGTAGAATACCTATAATCCGTGACGATCGTCATGCACCTCGGAAGCGTTGGGTCCCACAGAAAATGCTATTCCCCAAAGTCTCAGGTGTGAAAACCGCTGATTCGACTAATTCCAAATCCCTTTGATCCCGAATATCACCAGAGAATTTCACATGATCGGTACTCAGATTGTGTTTAGAACGGCACGAGAACCAGCAGCTAACCCAGTAAATCAAATGAATTTTCGAAGTAACGTTATCTACAACCATTATTCCATTAGAAAACTCGTATCTGAGACAGAACCCTAGATATCTTCATTTTGAAAATACCGCATGTGGGAAATAATTCGCCAAACACATCGTGCTTCGCATAGACCTAAAGTTACTCATGCTTCACTGTCTAACACTATCCGAAAAGCCGTTCACTTCCGCATTGGAATCTCGTCATTGGTG